AGGAAGTAACCTTCTGTTGTTGTTCTTCTATTTTTGAATTTCAATTCACCTGTGCATGGCTGCCTTGTTCTCTAACACGCCTCTTGTATGCTTGGTGATTTTAATAGCGAGGGGAAAGCATTTCATTATAAACTGCATGACCATATTTGTTTAATTTGGAATCAAGGAAACCAAGAGGCATTCTTTTAAAAACTGTGTGCATGTATGCTGTGAATGAAGGATACCGATGAAAGAAAGAAAAAAAAGTCTTATTTTCAGAGGATCAGGCTGTTTGTTATAGCAGATGATCAGAAATGCTGCCTGAAATTCTGCCCTGGTCCATTTCATCAGCTGCAGGCATGACAAGCTTACCAATTACGCCGGCGTTTGCAGATGGACATAAGGGAAACTCCTTATATTAGACATGAAAAGATTAGTCAAATGGATACGCTCTTTTCTGATTTTTTTAGATAGAAGATAAGTTAATGTGTTTAGTTACATGTGAAATATGGGACTATATGTTACTTTCAAATAAGGGCCAAGTAATTGATATTGCACTGTTGGGCACTTACCGTAGAGAAATAAAAACACGCACACGCCGGGACCAGGGGGCACACGCAGGGACCAGAGCACACACGCAGGGACCCAGGCGCACATGCAGGGACCAGAGCGCACACGCAGGGACCGGGGCGCACACGCAGATAACAGGGCGCACACGCAGATACCGGGGCGCACACGCGGGGACCGGGGCGCATACGCAGAGATCAGGGCGCACACGCGGGGACCAAGGTGAGCAGGGACAAGGGTTCGGGAGTGCAAGGTCACGGGCAAGGTGCTGGGTGCCTCTGAGCCTGTGGGCCACTGGACTCCAGGCGTGGCCCACGGCGGGGGGGACAGGGGGCGGTACAGACCTTCTTAATCTTCTTGATGTCGCTGTCCTCGTCGCCGGGGTCACTGGTCACGGTGGTCTGGGTGGACTGGATCCGCTCGTTGTCCTTGAGCAGGGACGCGATCTGCGAAGAAACACAGGTCAGCCGCCCCCAGGGTCACCGCCTGGTGGGAAGCTGAGGCCCCTCGCTCTGTGGGAGGTCGTTGAGCCAGACACCTGAGCGGGTGGAGGGGGGGACCAGGCCTGGGTCCCAGGCTGCTGGGCTCCCGCTCCGAGTGACCTTGGGCAATGCCCTTTGGCTCCCTGGGCTGCAGGCAGCACCTGTCCCGTCCCCTGTGCCCTGGGAGCCGGCCTGGATCTGTGCCCGATGCCTCAGCCCTGGCTGCCTTTACGCTTGGGTTCTTATTGGGGTCAGATGCCTGCAACATAAAGTTTGCCATCTTATCCGTTTTTTTTTTTTTAAATATGTTCTTATTGCCCTGGCCAGTTTGGCTCAGTGGATAGAGCGTTGGCCTGCGGACTGAGGGTCCTGGGTTCCATTCCGGTCAAGGGCACATGCGCAGGTTGCAGGCTTAATCCCCAGTAGTGGGCGTGCAGGAGGCAGCCAATTGGTGGTTCTCTCTCATCATTGATGTTTCTATCTCTCTCTCCCTCTCCCTTCCTCTCTCTGAAATAAACAGTCCGCAGGCTGGCGCTCTATCCACTGAGCCACGCTGGCTAGGGCTCATCACAAGTTTTGGGATTTGCACCTGGCACCCTTTTCCCTTTAGTTGGGTGATGTGTGTGCATGTGTGTGTGTGTGTACACATGTGCGCGCGCATGCGCATGTGTGTATATGTCCATATGTGTCAATGTGTCCACGTGCGTGCCCATTGCACGTGCATGCATGTGTGTACATCCATACATGTGTGTCAGTACAGGTGTGTGTCAGTGTGCGTACAAGTGTGTGTGCATGCGTGTGCGTGCATGTGTGCGTGTCTGTACAGGTGTGTGCATGTGTATGTATTTAAAATTGGTGGCACTGCTCTAAGGGAGAGGCATTCCAGGACATCCACTCAGCAGGGACCAGGTCAAAAAATAGATGCAATTAGGCCAGGCTCTCCACTCTGCTCAGCGAGGTGGGCAGCCCGGAGCCTTAGTTAGGCATCAGTCCGGGCAGGCAGAGCTCTGCAGAGCGGGGAGCCAGCAGGGGAGGGGGCCCCTGGGAGAACCCCCGGGGAGCCAGCCTTGCTCTAGCCCTGGCAGGCCCCCTTGGGGGTGGAGGGGCCGGCTTTGGACCCTGGTTTGCTGGCTTGGCATCAGGAGCTGCCCTGCTGCCCTCCTCCGTGGAGGCCGTGGGGACTTGGGACTAGCTCACAGCCCAGCTCGCCGGCGAGCGCCCAGTTCTGGCTGCCCCCCACGGAAATGAGAAGGGCTTTCCACAAGAGGTTTTGCAGGGCAGATAGGAGCCCAACCGGTGGCTCTGGCACAGGAGGGATTTGAGCAGAAGGGATGGTGTGAACCGGGTGTCTCTGTTGCCCACTTATCCCGCTGCCCCGAAGACGAAGACAGGCTTTCTTTTTTTAAAAAAATATATTTTTATCAATTTCAAGAGGAAGGGAGAGAGGGAGAGAAACCTCAGTGATGAGAGAGAGCGAATCATGGATGGGCTGCCTCCTGCACGCCCCCCTGCTGGGATCACATGCCTGCAACCCGGGCGTGTGCCCTGACTGGGAATTGAACTGTGACCTCCTGGTTCATAGGTCAATGTTCAACTACCGAGCCATGCCAGCGGGCACATGCCTGGTACGTGCCCCCTTTGATCCGCCGACCTCCGCGCGGGGGGAGGTAACTGCAGGGGGTCTGAGCCGGGAGGTCCAGGTCCGGGCCCGGCCTCCAGTGCGGACGGTGACCCTTGACCCTCGGTGTCTTCCGAACCCTCCCAGCTCTGACGTGGTGAGACCTCGTCTTTGTCACGGGGCCGCCTGTCACCCCTGGCTTCTCAGTGCCTCCGGCCACCTGGCGGCCACCTCCCGGGCCGTGGGCCCTGTGCTTCCGCGTCCTGGAGCTGGTGCAGAGCGGACAGACGCCCTGCGCCCTGCGGGGTGTGCGTGTGCGAGAGACCCAGCCACGTGGTCCCAGAGCTGGACCAGCCGGCCCTGCAGAGTCTCCTTGAAAAGAAATCTCTGCCCCGAGGGCGAGGCGCTCAGTCGGAAACACTGCTCCAAACTCCCACACATGGACCCAGGGGTTGAGCATCGACCCACGAACCAGGAGGTCACGGGCCAATTCCCGGTCAGGGCACAGGCCCGGGTTGCGGGCTCCATCCCCAGTGGGGGGCGTGCAGGAGGCGGCCGATCCATGATTCTCTCTCATCGTGGATGTTTCTCTCTCTCTCTCCCTCTCCCTTCTTTTCTGAGATCAATAAAAACATTAAAAAAAAATTCCCACAAATGGGCTTTTGCTGACGCACACGCTCACAACCACCCCTGCGCCCGCCCCTTCCCTGCCCTCCCAACCCCCGAGTCCCTTTAGGGCAGAAGCAACACCAGCCCACACCCACGTCGGCCACGAAATGACTCACTTCCGGAGCTCTATGCTTGTGATCCACAGTCAGTCCTCTGCTTCTCTAGTGCCCACCACAGAGCCTGGCACCCTGACTGAGCACCTACTATGTGCCAGGCTGGGGGGCGGGCAGGGCAGGGAGTCCCCAGGAGGGGGCCTCTGAGGCTGGGGTGACAAGGGCATTGCAGTCGGGTGCCGGCAGGCCCAGAAGCCATGCAGCGCCCACCCCTGGAGCCTTGGGCTGGTAACACAGAATGCTGACTCAAGGTGCGTGTCGTCACAGAAACTAGGAATCCACCCAGACGTAACCTTGCAGCCTTGAGGATTAGATGTAAAAAAAAAGCCCATAAGAAGGGGAGGCACAGATGCCTGGCCGGTGTGGCTCAGTGGTTGAGCGTCGACCTAGGAACCAGGAGGTCACGGCTGGATTCCCGGTCAGGGCACAGGCCCGGGTCGCGGGATCGGTCTCCAGTGTAGGGTGTGCAGGAGGCAGCCGATCCATGGTTCTCTCTCATCATGGATGCTTCTCTCTCCCTCTCCCTTCCTCTCTGAAATCAATACAAATATCCTATATAATAAAAGGCTAATATGCAAATTGACTGAACGGTGGAACAATGGGTTGCTATGACAGTCACTGACCACGAGGGGGCAGATGCTCAACGCAGGAGGCGTGCCACCACAGGGGGAGCGCTGCTCAGCCAGAAGCCAGGCTCCCGGCAGCACTGAGGACCCCTTGGGGATGTCCGCCTACTGGCTTAGAGGGCGCAGGCCGGGCTGAGAGACACCCCCCCCCAGTGCATGAATGTTGTGCACCAGGCCTCTAGTGTTAAAAGAAAAATAAGGGGGGGGCACACGGAGGTTGGGAGTTCGCTCCAGGTTGCAGGTTTAGGTGTCAGAAGTGGGATCTGAATCCAGCTCCAACCCCAAGGACTGTCCCACTCGGCCAGCATCACCAGTTTCAGGGGTGGAGGCTGGCAGGGCAGGGGTGGGGAGCCGCCCCCGGCCCGTCCTATGGC